ACGTTACAAAAGATGTAACCAATACACCACAAAAAGAGGAAACTTTGATCATCAGCGGAGTGCCCAAATTCCAATTCCAAGATACTAGGCTTTACAAAAGAAAAACAAAAAAAAGGAAAAAGAAAAAAGAAATTAGAATTAGAAAAGTTCAGAACAAGTATAATTAAGAAGCATGTTTGCTTGTTGTTTTGGTGATAATTATTAATACAAGTTACTTTAAAAGAAGAAGAAAAGTCTACCCTTTCTTCTTTATGATTTTGTTTAGTTGTATGTATATAAATATATACTTTTGAATTAATTATATTAAAATGAACCCATTATGCCAGCAAGCACGAACCAGACTAACATAAAAGAAGTTTGTAGAGGATATGATTGAATAATTAAAGAAAGAAAAAAAGTTATCTCAGATAGATGCATGTATTTTTGTTGTGAAAATTAATTTATACGATGTTGATGGCTTCTAATTAATGTGGACAGGTGGGTTTCTTGTTGTCTACTCAGTTTGTATGTGACAGCTTTTCATTACATTTCTTCGCCATTGCAATAAAGTTTTGAAGGTGCTGTCGAAGTTAAACAATTATAGTAAGAAGAAGAAGAAGAAAAATAAAGAGTTGTTACAAACCTAATTTATAAACTTTTTTTATAAATCCGGTACATGAATTATAGGATTTATATTTCTTAATAATATGGTAGATATAACACATTATTGGATAGAAGTTCCAATTTCAAGTTGATCATTAGTTTTAGAGAAAATTCGTAAGATTAGTATAAGTGTATATTGCTCATGTAGACAATCAAGTGTTTGTTTTTATTTAATACAAGTTCTAAATTTTTTATCTGGCTATTTTTTGGTACTTCAAACTAATATTTGGATTAAATTAGAACATATCACTGGTAAGAGTTTCGTGATTACATCCATTAAGTGTTGTGAAGACTTAATTGAAAATCATGTAACTATATCTTATTTTGCTCTTATATCATCAACTCATCTGTGTTGTTTAAGTTTATATGTATTTTTAAGAATGATTGTTGTTTTCAAAAAAAAAAAAAATTCTTCTTCTATGGGGGTTTATGCGTTTTTAAATTTTCTCTTGAAAGTAAATTCAACTACATGTATTCCTGTGGGAAGTTCGACATATTAAATTTCCAGTTTTGAATGCATTCATTTGGGTAGTAGCTCGTAAGTTGCGAAGATAGTGATAATATGTTTATTGTTCGAGAACTCGTGGATCGGTTTTGGCAGAACCGTTAGCCAAAAGAAAAGCTGAATAAGATACTCATTTCGTCAACTCATCTCTAGGTTATTTTAATCGGAAATTTCTGCTCTTTATCCTTCGATTTTAGATAAACATGTACATTGACTTTCCTTACAATTTAAAGTAAACTACTTAGGAAGAAGATGTTAATGTTTTATTGTACTCTCGTGTTATCGTTTAACCCACTTTAACGATATGTTTTATCCTTTCATTTATCTTTGATTAATACAGCATTAACCATCAACAATACGAAAGCTATTGAAAAAAAAAAAAAATTGAATGGAAACATGAAACACCGTTCGATGCACTTTTTGGAATAATATTCTATTATGAATAGAATATGATAACATTTAATGAAATAGTATAAGATCTTCATAATGCGTTTGTTACATTTTTTGAAAATATTTTTTAAAAATATTTAGATTATTTTCTAAAAATAAGTGATAATGTTAATTTAACTAAATATTCACCTACAATAAAAGTTTATAAATTAACAAAATCACTATCACGCACCTAGCTGATTACAAATAGTTGGCCACCACTGCCAGACCGTGGCCAGAAGTTATCGGAATGGCACACGACCGATTAAATCTAATCAGTTATGCGCTGATTTAGCCATTTTCGACCAAATCTATCATGGAACGACTAGGTCTATGACCAAAGATCTAGCCGTTGATGACGGCCATATCTTGGCCATTGTTGACTGCCAAACAACGGCAAAAAAACTAGCTGTTAACGATGGCCAAGATTTCTAGCCATTGTGAACAACCAAATCTTTGACCATAGATTTGATGGAAACGGCCAAATCAGCTCACGATTGGTCAAATCCAACTGATCGTGCATCGTTTCAACGTCAACGATTGACAGTGGTTGTTGGCAAGCGATTGTTGCTTGGGTGGATGGGATATTTTTGTTAATTTATAAACTTTTATTAAAAAAAAAAAAAATTGTTAAATGTTTAGAATTTGATAGAATATGATTGAATTTTGAATTGATTTTTTAAGATATGATGGTAAATAGAACAGGAGTGGAAAAGTTAAACTAAAAGGGAATACAATTCCCAACAACTCCTCAAAAAATTGGGTAAGTAGCTCGTAAGTTGCGAAGAAAAGTGATATATGTTTATGGTTCGAGAACTCGTGGATCGGGTTTTGGCAGAACCGTTAGCCCAAAAGAAAAGCTGAATAAAAAGAAATTAGAAGTAGAAAAGTTCAGAACAAGTATAAATTAAGAAGCATGTTGCTTGTTGTTGTGGTGATAATTAATTAATACAAGTTACTTTAATAAAATGGAGGAAGAAAAGTCTACCTTTTCTTCTTTATGATTTTGTTTAGTTGTATGTATATAAATATATACTTTTGAATTAATTAATATTAAAATGAACCCATTATGCCAGCAAGCACGAAACCAGACTAACATAAAAGAAGTTTGTAGAGAGATATGATTGAATAATTAAAGAAAAGAAAAAAAGTATTCTAGATAGATGCATGTATTTTTGTTGTGAAAATTAATTTATATACGTATGTTGATGGCTTCTAATTAATGTGGGACAGGTGGGTTCTTGTTGTCTACTCAGTTTGTATGTGAAAGCTTTTCATTACATTTCTTCTGCCAATTGCAATAAAGTTTTGAAGGTGCTGTCGAAAGTTAAAACAATTATTAGTAAAGAAGAAGAAGAAGAAAAATAAAGAGTTGTTCACAACCTAATTTTATAAACTTTTTTTTATAATCTCGGTATGATAGTTTATGATTAATCAGTTTATAATTAGGTAGATATAACACATTATTGGATAGAAGTGTCCAATTTCAAGTTGATCAATTAGGTTGTGAGAGAAAATTCGTAAGATTAGATTATAAGTGTAATATTGCTCATGTAGAAATCAAGTGTTTTGTTTTTATTTGAATTACAAGTTCTAAATTTTTTATCTGGCTAATTTATGTGTACTTCAACTAATATTTTAGGATTTTAGAACTATCAGCTGGATAAGAGTTTCAGTGATTACATCCATTAAGTGTTGTGAAGACTTAAATTTGAAAAATCATGTAAACTTATATCATTATTTGCTCTTATATCATCAAATCATCTAGTGGTGTTTAAGTTTATATGTATTTTTAAGAATGATTGTTGTTTGTCAAAAAAAAAAAAAAATTCTTCTTCTATGTGGGTTTATGCGTTTTTTAAATTTTCTCTTGAAAGTAAATTCAACTACATGTATTCCTTGGTGGAAGTTCGACATATTTAAATTTCCATGTTTGAATGGCATTGATTTGGTAAAGTTAGCTCGGAAGTTGCGAAGATTAAGTGATAATATGTTATTGGTTCGGAGAATCGTGGATCGGGTTTTGGCAGAACCGTTAGCCCAAAAGAAAAGCTGAATAAGGTAACATCATTTCGGCAACTCATCTCTAGGTTATTTTAATCGGAAATTTCTGTCTTTATCCTTGATTTGGATAACAAATGTACATTGACTTTCCTTACAATTTAAAGTAAACTACATAGGAAGAAGATGGTTAATGTTTTAGTGTACTCTTAGGTTATCGTTTAACCCACTTTAACGATATGTTTTATCCTTTCTTTATCTTTGATAATACCGCATTAACCATCAACAATACGGAAAGCTATTGAAAAAAAAAAAAAATTGAATGGAAACATGAAACCACCGTTCGATGCACTTTTTGGAATATATTCTATTATGAATAGAATATGATAACATTTAATGAAATAGTATAAGATCTTCATAATGCGTTGTTACATTTTTTGAAAATATTTTTTAAAAATATTTAGATTATTTTCTAAAAATAGTGATAATGTAATTTAACTAAATATTCACCTACAATAAAAGTTTATAAATTAACAAAATCACTATCAGCACCTAGCATGATTACAATAGGTGGCCACCACTGCAGACCGTGGCCAGAAGTTTACGGAATGGCACAAGACGATTAAATCTAATAGTTATGCGCTGATTAGCCATTTCGACCAAATCTATCATGGAACGACTAGGTCTATGGACCAAAGATTAGCCGTTGATGACGGCCATATCTTGGCCATTGTTGACTGCCAAACAACGGCCAAAAACTAGCTGTAACGATGGCCAAGATTTCTACCATTGGGAACAACCAAATCTTTGACCATAGATTGATGGAACGGCCAAATCAGCTCACGATGGTCAAATCCAAAGATCGTGCATCGTTTCAACGTCAACGATTGACAGTGGTGTTGGCAAGCGATTGTTGCTTGGGTGGATGGGATATTTTTGTAATTTATAAACTTTTTATTAAAAAAAAAAAAAAAATTGTTAAATGTTTAGAATTGATAGAATATGGTGAAATTTTGAATGTGATTTTTAAGATATGATGTAAAAGAACAGGAGGGAAAAGTTAAACTAAAAGGGAATACCATTCCCAACAACTCCTCAAAAAGTCCTGCTGTTAATTGTAAGTCTTGGATTTGATTTTCTATTCTCTACCCAGATTCATTACGACATTTCACATTTTAATTCAATACCAGATGGAATGAAACCTTAATCCAAGTCCAGAAGAGAACTCATGAAACTAAAATATAATGCCTCATAATATAAAATTACATTCATACAGAGCTAACACTTATCCAGTTTGTTCTAACATAAAATTTAACAATTCAAAAAAATTAATTAAAACAATGGAAATTAGATCAAGATAAGCCCCTACGATTAATTACAAAAAGAAAGTGGGATTATACACATATAACACGCTTCGTAAGCATCAAACAACTCTGATAAAGACAAGAAATTTGCTCCATGACGGCATGCACATCACAAGATGCTCAACTATCACTCCAATTATCATCACACTCGCAACAACCTGGCAAGTTTCACAGTTAATTAATTTTTACAATTGTAATTCAATGAAAGATAAAAAAGAAACAGAACAGTGAAGGAAAAGTTCAGAAAGAAGACAATGTGAACCTGCCGGATTGCATTTGCTTTCTCTAAAATTGCAGGGACTTTGACATTTGCGGACTGACCTGATGCGAAGGTTGGCCTTGCTGTAACGTTGGCCTCAGGCTGAATGACTGGACAAAAAATAAAAAAGCATTAATTAGATAGATTCAAAATCACGATCTTAATGTACAAACTTTCTTTTTGCTGCCAAATAGATTATGAGCATTCAATTGTCAGGTAGTGATTAGATAGTCATATAATTGAAAGGAAAGAACAAGTTACTGCTCCATGATAATTGAACCAGTCTATCAAGAATGTTACAAACAAGGAGAATGAAAATATCGAATCAAACTATACTATTTTAACTTAGACTTGTGGATCCATGGACCCCAATCAGATTTCATAGCACCACACAAGAAGTTTATATAAAAAGTAAAATCACTAGAAGAGTAAAGGAAAAAAAACAACAGATAAATAAATAATAACAACAACAAAAAGACCTAACTTAACCATTTGAAACCACAAAGATGACCAAATGTCAAACAAGCCCATAGAATCATCAAGTGAACAAGTGCAGAAGGATTAATAAATATACATAGGGGAAGAAAATCTACCATTAATTCTTCTTATTAAAAATAACCATAGGAATCGAATTTGTACTTTTTTTTTTAGGTTCCCCATATTTCTATAAAGAAACCATGGTTTCTATTACTAAGAGAACCCAAAAAAAAAAAAAAGAAAAAAAAACTGAATTCACCAATTTCATATTGACTGGATTCTGAAAATGATCAAATCACGACAGAAATAGCTACTCACTTTTGTCCTAATTTGATGCAAGGAAATCCTCCTTCTAATCGAACCCTTGCCTTTGCATCCTGATTAGCTTCCTTTGCCTATCAACTTCTGCTGGTCTTCTGCTTACAAATAAAATTCCGTAAGCATATATTGGTAGTTCTGCATTCTCGAATATGCTTTATGAATATAAATGAAAATTGGAAAATCCAATAATTCAGCCATGTTACCTTGCTGTCGCAATAGAAAGACGTTCTCCTTTTCAGAGATAGTTGATTAGCGGGGCTGGCTCACGTTGCTGATAGATGGTAGATCCAAATGCTTCAGGTCTAATCCATGTTCAAAGCCTCTGATACGAATAGTTCCTCTTCAGCCACATCGGATGGGACTTAGTGACCCGCCATTGCACTGGAGGGAGAGGTGGAGGCAGTGGGTGACTTCCCTAAGTTTTCCGAGTGTTGAATATTTAGGATCATTGACTTTATGTCCCCATCTAATACAGGGTTCATGGCATCAAAACTTGAAGATCACAGACGACAGACAAGGTTCTACACCATTCTCCATATACATAATTGAAGTCCTAGGTCAACATGCATGCCATTCTTAGTGTTCCTACCTCTGCTGAGAGCTTGAGACAGCTTCCATTGATGACATTCGGCATAAAGCATCATATAGCTCATGGTCTGCTTCCTCCAGGGGGATTCATCAGATTCCCACTGCTCTGAATTTGACTCAGACTGGTGACTAAGACAATCATCTGACATATAAGGAGATGATCGCAGAAGTATCATCATCAGAATCAGAAACCATACGCAGTGCAATAGCAGGCTCAGGGACCAACTGAAATGAAGCAAACATATCGCTAAGCTTTATGAGAGTTGATTCCCATAGGAAATTTTAGTTCAGTTTAGAAGTCTCAAGGCCATCTATAGGGTGAAAGATATTTCATATGTTCAAGTGGTGGTGTAAGAAGTGAAGGAACATAGAGGACGATCCATGCCCAAACTGCTCACAAAGGTTGTCTTAAAATTGGTGATTTGCATCAAATGGTGCCCACTATCCCGCTAACACACTGGTACAAGAGAGCCAACTGATTCAGATTTTTCATCATCGACGAGGGCACCTTTCTACGAAAACATTTACAAGTAACCTATGACCAAGTCCAACACATACAGTGAGTTTCCATCATTTCCTTGATTTGCTTCCGTAGATTTTACTTTGACATCTGGTGCCAGCCAGTTCCCGACACAGCTAAGAAGTTACTTCAAACCACCTTCATGACCATGATTAATACTATTTTGAGCACCATGGATTTTTCAACTGTTAGAATCTGAATAAGCTAACGGAAGTTGACTTTTTCATTATTAGAACTTGAAACTGCCACAAAACTTTCAGCACTCTCAACATGTATTCAGTATTCCTCTTTGCCCATCACTCTGGACAGCTGAATTGGCGGACTACGTTTCACTTGTACTTCGGGCAACATAATCTGACCATGACATTGACACAGCAAAAGCAGGAGGTTTGATGGCTCTATCCAATAGGTACCATTTGTCCAGAATGTAACTTGTGAACACCAGCAAAATTCAGCATGAGGTTGTTGAGATTCACTAAAAACTGCTTATGATCTTATCACCAGATTGATACCCAAGAATTAGAAATCTGGAGCCAGAGGATGATGGATCACTTTATAACAGACTCAGCTCTGGACCATCAATAATAACAGATTTGGCTGACGAGCTCAGGCACTACTGATTTGTTTGATGACCATCAATGGCAACTGATTCTGCTCGTGGGCCATCAGTGACAACTGATTCGCTCGTGGGCCATCAGTGACAACTGATTCTGCTTGTGGACCATCAACAACGACTTGCTTGTGACCATAACGACAACTGACTCTGCTTGGGACCTCAAATGACAACATGATTCTGCGTTGGACCATCAACCAACTGATTCTGCTTGTGGGCATCATCAACAACTGATTCTGCTGGGGAACCTCAATGACAATGATTCTGCTTGTAAAACATCAAGAAATCAGCACTAGCACAGACATCAGTGTCCAGTGAATGGTCTGAATCAGAAGACTTTCCAGAAATTTGTGTCTTTCAAGGACAACACTCTCTGAGGGACTGAGTTTAAAGCACAGGGATTCCATTACTTGGCAAGATGGGGACCATATGAGACTCATAGTAGATGGATAATGATCTGAATCATGTCCATGGTCGCATATATTCCATTTCTTTCTGTCATTTTGATCATCAGAGAATATTGCTCACTTCTCGTTTTGTTGGTATCAAGATCATTTTCAGATTCCGATTCAATGGTGTTAAGAGCATCCATAAAAGTATTGGTTCACTTTCAACTTCATCAAGCGATTGTATCAAGAATCAATTAGGAGTGTCTTCGTCGATAGCAATGACATCCTTTTGATCAAACATTTTCAAGGTTGGCATTTCCCTGTCCCTGTATCTATGTCAAAGCTTGTTGAAAGCACCTCTGGGTCTATCTCTGTCGCATGTTGATCTGCAGGCTCACTTTTCAGCCTTTTGGTCCAATTAACACAAGACAATCTTGGAGCAGTTTTGCTCTTGTGATGAACTGCATGGAAAATGTATCACCATCCGCTAGACTCATACAAAAAACTGGAATCAAGGGTATCAATATGCTGCATCAAACTAGACGTGGATTCCGTAGACTCTGTATCTCAGGTTGCAAGGAAGAGCTTAGATTGAAAACACATTCTATTAACCCTGGACCCAGTTCTTGAATCAAAGAATTTGAATGATCTCCAAAGTCAGATTTCAATGTCATTCAATGGTAGAGCAGTTTGAGAAGAAGGCGTCCATTTAACAGCTGAGATGACATGGAATCTGCATGGTATGACATCAATAAACATCTAGAAACTACTTCATCAAAGTGGATATGGCAAAAATTGGAACAACTACAGGGATGTATATAAATACCTGCCACTGTGACTGGACATTGAGCAATGCGTGATATTTCGCCATTCCTCTGGAGGGCCTTTTGTTTCTGTGCATTGACATTGTTCATTCAGAAATAATTCCCAAAGGCAACCACATAGAAGTAATTACATGTCATATATACATGAAAGCAAATTATGACAGACTTTGAAGAAATTAATTTAATTTTCTCACAAAATGCATGAATTCATCAAGAAATTCTCAAAGGAAAATAAATCCACAATAATAGACTTTATGAATACTGAAAGTTCAATATGGAATATAAGTAACTAAAACGAATTGTGACTCACAAAATATCTGGCTGACCAGACATGATAATAAGAATAGATAAAGCATCACAAAGTGGATGCAAGTTCAGACCAAAAAGATCCTTCATTAGTAGAGCATACCTTGCTTTTACGAGTCTTCTTATCTCTTGTAATTTCTCAGCAGTTGCTTCATGGAGCTGCCATGATATTCTTTAAAGAAGGTTGGATCTGAATATCTCTTCAGACAAGATCCAGGCCCACAGGATCAATCTGATTGGAAAAGCAGGAGAAATGAGCATCTAAAAATAAACTTTGAGTTCATTAATGCTGAATAAGATGGATAAAAATATACATACTTGTCAAGCAACGTGAGATGGGGAGGATCACGGCATTCTCGTAGGAACTCAATAATAAATCGTGGCAAGTCATTGATACACAAAATGGTTTTGCTCATTTTCAATACGAGGATGCCACTCAGAACCTGACAAGGCAACTGCTTTCTAAAAGGATTGAATTATTTGAAATAATATTAAATGGAATCACAGTCACAGGGCATAATAAATTTCAATGCAACAACTCAATGACGGAGGAAAACTCCAAGATTAATCAAGACTGAAACATGAGCCAGTACAGTATAGTGCAATAGACACACTTATCTGGAAAGATATTTCTATACTATGTTAAAAAATGAGTGTAAGCAGAAAAAATGAGTAAATACTTGAGAAATTTCCCGGAGGTTAGTCTGGAATCCCATGATCCACAGATAATATAGGACCATCTACATACAAGAGCTATTTAAGGAGCACATAGAAAAACCAAGAGCAAGTTACAGCGCAGGTACAAGAGCCATACCCGGCTGTGTAAGACAAAATGAATGTGGCTTGTTTGGGCCAGTAAGGGCTTTTTCAAGGGAAGGAAGTGAGCTTCAATGTGTGCACACGAACCTTCAACTTATGACTTCTTGAAGCGTTGTCATCACTTGCTCCTGCAAGCCATGAAAAACCTCGGCTGCAAACCTACTACATATCAAAGATGTCAAAGATGCACCTAAATCCATGTTCAAGGAAGACAAACTATGACATATAATTTCTGACCACTATGGATAACTTA